CTTAGCATGGACCTCCGCACTTGCGCGCGAGATTGATAGGTCCTATGTTCTAATCTCGCGGTAGTGATGGGCGGGATCGTGGATGCGCACTGCTGAGGGGTCCCATACTAGTACGAAATGACCGTCTAGTGCTTCCACATTTTCCATGATGGTCTAGCCTCAATTGACTCATGACTTCAACTATTGAAATCAAAATTATTGAATACAAATAAGTACACTGGTTAATTGTATACTAAATAAGTCAGTCAATTAATGTTAACAATCTTTAAAGCAGATATTTGCTTTAGTTGTAGTAATTATAGTCCTACTTCTCACGGAGCTGAAACTTGAAGAACTACTACAACCATCACCACACACGTACAAATATTTCCAAACAATTGTCTACATAAGATACTCAATGTCTGTTGACCGGATACCATCAGCAACATCCTACTGTGGAAGAGAACAAACTGGTTTCTAGTTGAGGAGGATGTGGATAGGACAAACACTGAGGAGATCATCAAACTACATCATGAGGAATGCGCTAACATGGAATGCTGAATGAAAACAAAAAAGAGGAAGACCGAAGAACACACTGCACAGAGAATCGGAAACAGATATTGAAGGAATGAGTAACAACAGTAAACAACTGGGATGTATTGCTTAGGACAGTGTTGGGTGGAGAATGTTAATGAGCAGCCTATGGTCTTACGTGAAGGTGACAGACGTAATAAGGTAGGTAAAGTGTGATAATTATACACTTAAGGAAATACCTACTTTAAACATTGTTAATGTTGATTGAATGACCTATTTAGTATACAGGTAAGCAGTGAATCATTTCCTTATTTCTATTCAATAATTTTGATATTTGATTGTATTTCGTTACAAAAGCTGAAGCAAATTGTGAGGTGAAACGTTGTGTAAATCACCAGTGTAGATGATCTATGTCGAATGATTGGCGGCCTACTAAATTAAGACGGAAATGGTGTGATGAACCAGCTAACGTTGAAGTCACACCTTGTGGTCATCACATTACGTGGATTGCCCCATCGACGTATCGAGGTACTATAGATGCTTTGAAAACTGTACAACACAAAGGACGTTATTATAGAAGTATATTAGTTAAAGTAGATACATACGAGTGTAAAACCACCGCTGAATGGGCCAGTCTATGGCGTACGATTAAATGATGCACGTCGGTTGTCTTTGACCTTGACGAGGATCAATTTTCGGTTCGATATTCAGTGATCCAACTGCCGGATGATTTGGCTTAGTGTCATTCCACTGGTCCTACAGTTGGATTTACTTTAAATTCATTCACTGAGATTTTCCAAATACATTCTTCCTTCTTAATGCATTATATCAACTCAGTACCGAAATTTCTTATACGATTTGAGATATTTACATTATCCCTTTGAAGGAACTCGAAGAAGCTTTCCCAGTGACAGTTTAGAGTTATTAATTATTTATTTATTTGAACACATTAATATTTGTTCAAAGGGGCACTGAATACCTATGCACCACACAAGTCACTTGATTTGTGTGTGAGCTTTGATACTGACTGGATGACTAGACTGAAGCTAGTGGTTTCCTTAGGGGGCTACACCCCGAACCTTCGACCTAAAGATCTTATCTACAAGTCAGTTGAGCAACGTAAGGAGCTGCATTCACATAGTAACCGGTGACCAGCAATAGGTTCATACTCTATTTGTTCCTTCAGCATCCTGGAGCCAATGTGCACTATTAGTTTGGTATGAGGGTTTTTCAACTCTCGAAGATGGACCCTCTGCTTCCACCAATCCGGTTAAAGCTCCTGCCAGATATTCACTTTTCGTCCTTTCAATTTCTTAAACAACACCAGTGGTGCAAGAAAGCATTGAGTAGGATTTTTCAAGCAGTGGTTTTATGCACACGTTCATGTGAGAGCATTTGGAGAGGGGGACGTATCTCTCCTCACCTTCTGTCGTACCAAGGCATTTAAAGGCTTAGAGTTATTTAAATTTGCATTATAAATTCTATTTCAATCCAGTTTATTTTTGTCTTATTTTTCTTACTATGTGGTCTGAACAAGTATAACACCTATACAATCTTCCATACTTCTTTTGTACATCCATATACATCTATCTATATGTATGTATATTTGTGTTCTATTTGGAGATTAGAGCTATAAACACTTGGTAACAAGAATAGGTGGTCTTTAGCCTAGTTTTTTTTCTTCTATAAGTGAAAACTGAATAAGAAAGATTATTCCATCATTTAAGTGTATTAGTATACATGTATTGTATGGTGGATGTTGTTACATCTCGACGACTATGATGAATCGTAACTGTTGGGATTTATTTATGGCCTAATACTGTTGTATAATTGTTAAGTAACTAAACTATTCATATGCTTCTTATTATAAGCTTTATTTTGACATACAGAATACTCTGATACGATTTACTGTTCCTGAGTTATGCTCAGTCTCTCATATTCACAGCCACTTTTGGTTAGATCTTGTACAAATGTGCATTTTCTATTTGATAGTACGATGTGGTCTGTTTGGTTGGTATATAAACTCAGTATGTTTGAAATACACGATTCATATCATGGAGGCTGAGATTGGTGTTCTGAACTCAACGGGCAAGCAGGTTTAGGCAGGAAAAAGGACCGCTACGGACTCTAGACTGTTTTGTATGGGTTTTATGCGTCATTGATCCGGTTGATAAGCCACTATTCTCTAATTGGTGATATCGTTACGTCATATACTGATAAGGGTATAAAGCCTATAAGTTATAACGGAAGTCTAATCAAAAATTGTTTGATTTTAGTACATGGGTATACTCTCATATGAAGTGTTATCTAAAGTCTTGAATTCTGTTGAGTTTTCCTTGTGCATTACACAAAGTGTTCATTTACTACAATATGTATTCCAGTTAACTAAACATAATAGTTAACTTTCATTTAAATGTTTCCTATAATTACCTATCTTTGTATAGAATGGTTCAATCCTTAGTACTAAAAAAACAGGTTATTAATCACTGACCTAACAGGTGATTGATTGAGGTTTGAATGGCATGATGATAATATTTCAGTTTCTAACATTAATTAAAGTGGGTTTCAAACCTACAGATAACAGTAGTTTCGATGAAAATGTAATTAATTTCTACTGATGACTCTCCCTCTTGAAATGCTCTAATATGGTCACGTACATACAACCAATGCCATAAAAGTTATACTCATACTCTTCTCTCATTAAAGGTGTCGTTTACGAAATTGAGAGGATGAAAAGAGAATATTTGTCAAGAGCTTTAACTGGGTTGATGGGCACGGAGGATACACTTACGGAAGCTGGAAAAACTTCATTCCAAGTCAATGGTGCACATCGACTCCAGGATCCCGAGGGAACAAATGGTGTATCAACCAATTGTTGGCTGCTGTCTACCATGCGAATGCATCTCCTTATGTTGCTCCACTGACTTGTAGATCAAACCATTAGGTCGAAGACTCTGGATATGGCCCTCTAGGAAAGCCACCTACTTCGGTTTGAGCCTTTCGGACAGTGTCATAGTCCACACAATTAAGTAAATTATTTGGCTCATTTAGATTTTGCCGACTCGCTTCATTTATAGCGTAGGCGAGGTATCCGTCAACCAACCAAAAGACGGGTTAACTACTCAGCAGTTCACTCCGTCCTACTTTATGGTTATGAAACATGGCCGGTAAAAGTAGGGGATTTTCATAGCTTACTAGTAATTGATCACAAATGTTTTAGAAATATTGCTCGCATCTGCTGCGATCACAAGTTAAGTAATAGTGAGGTTGGACACAGGATATTATGGAATGATGATGCTAAGTCAGTTGATGAAGTTTTTAGTCTTCATTGACTGAGATGGTTGGGCATGCGTAATACATTGCCCAACCACCGATAAGCACGACGCTCAATGATGACTAGTGTAGGGAATGGTTGGAAGAAAGTGGAGGGCGGTCAAACCGAAACGTGGCATCAGTACTTGAAGTCACTAACCTCTAGTCTGAGCCATGTTGGTAGATGCAGACCACTTAGTTGGTTTCCATGTGAATATCGTAACCAATGGTTGAAGACTCTTGGTGACATGGCTCATAGTCGATGACAATGGCGTAGGTGTATACACTCTTTATCTTCTCTTAAACCATGAGATTAAAACTGCTATATACCTTTTTTTCTACAAACTAATTCTTTCTTCCTGTATTGTATTCTTATACACAATCTTACTAACAATTATCATGTGATTATTAGCGAATACCTTCAACAGGTGATTTCAGGAGTTTAAATCAGAAGCTGTGGTCAATAAACTATAACCATGTGAAGTGTAAGAAAAACGATCGATGATCAACTTACAATATCGTAGATCAATAAGAGTTAAACATTCACAGCATTGAATCATGAGTTATTGGTCTAAAATCTAAGTATTCGTGTGGACGTGTGACTAAAGTTTCTTTATCTAATTTACTATATTGAATTCATCCAGAAGAAACAAGTGTTTATTAACAGTTGTCTATACAAAATACTTCGGATCCGTTGGTCAAACACTATCAGCAACAACCTATTATGCGAGAGAGAACAAACCATATATCAGTGGAGGAAGAAATTAGGAAGAAACTGTGGAAGTGAATAGGACACACATTGAGGAAAGCATCAAACTGCATCACAAGGCAAACTCTCACATGGAATCCTCAAGACCAAAGGAGAAGAAGAACAAGACCAAAGAACACATTACGTCGACAAATGAAGACAGACATGAGAAGAATGAAGGACAGAGTGTGTTAGAACATGCTAGTCGGTAGGCAATGCTCCATTAGGAGTAACAAGCGTAAATATGTAAATCTATTCAAATCAATCATTCCCTTTACTAAGATGATATAGATATTCATTTCTTCCACATATTCAACAATCATCAAACTTGGATCCTTTCAACAACAACAACAACAACAACAACAACAATATAGAATTCAATGATTGAATAAAAATCTTTATATACACAATTGAATAAGTCATTGAACTATGATACACTTTTCTTTAATTCTATTAATAGTTCATTATTATTATTATTATTATTATTATTATTATTATTATCATTTGGTATTATTTGTTCTATTGTTTTTTGTTCATTTATAAATAATAATGGATTTGTTGTCATTTGTATTGTATCTAATAACATAGATGTATTAAATGAATGTATTGGTTTAGTTAATGTTGTTGCTTGTGCTGCTACAGCAGCGGCTGCTGCTGCCATCACAGCTGCTGTTGCTGTACTTTGCCCGGTGATTATTCTATGCTGTTTTGAATTGACTATATCATTCATTATATGAGGTATTGTATTACTATTAGTAGTATTAGTAGTAGTAGTAGTAGTAGTAATATCATTATTAGAACATTCAGTAATTGGCTTATTAATATATAATTCATTAAAATTTGTTGTTGCTATGCTTTGATTTAAACGTGGTACATTTGTAAAATAACGATTACGTTTTATACTATCCATTATTATTGGTTGTTTATATTGTTCCGCTAATAAACGTTGATGATGTTGACATAATTTTGGATAAGCATCATACATATTTTTATAAATTAATGTATTCGAATCTATCATTTCTGTTACTGGGGTTAATAATGATGAATCTTTTATATGTATATTATTACTATTACTACTAGTAATCATACTACTATTATTATTAGTAGTAGTAGTAGTAAGATATATATTAGGCATAGTTACTTCAATATTATCAGTTGTTATTGGTAAGATATAATTATTCATATTGATTTTCTCATTATTGATGATTGATGATGTAATCAATGATTGATTATTATTATTATTATTATTATTATTATTGATTGTTGATACAAAATATCCTGAATCAGTTAAATATGGCATAACAACAGATGGAATATCATTACTATTATAAGTAGTATCATTAATAGTAGTATAAGTAGTAGTAGTAGTAGTAGTAGTAGTATTAGTAGTAGTATTTGTATGATGAATTGGTAAACAATTAAATAAATGTATAGGTGATGTTAATTGTTTCATTTCATTATCATTATTATTATTATTATTATTCATATATTCTAATGAATTATAATCGATTAATTGATTATTCTTCTTATTCTGATTGATTGATTTCATATTGATTAAATTGAATTTGTTACTAAGCTTCAGAATTTGTTTGTTACTAAGGCATTTTTGTATAATATAAATGAATAAAATTGGATCAATACAAAAATGTAATATAATTATACGGGTAATAAATAATAAATGTTTTTCATTGATTAAATAATAATAATAATAATAATAAGTCATAATATAATTCGATATAATGGGTATACATAGGCTAATGAATTCTATCAGTAGTATCATCATAATCAATATTATTGATCGATTAGGAAATTTTAATTGATTTATTATGCAATTTCTATGATTAATATAATATAGCATTAGATATAATAATACAATAAATAATATAATAATAATCATTTGTATTAATAATGGGATAATAATTAAAAGAAATGATGATATCCATGTCGTCGTCGTCGTAGTAGTAGTACTTGTTATTCCATCATAATTATTAATAGTTGATGTTGTCAACGATATCGACGATGACGATGATGTCGACAGTGACGATGACGACGACAATGTCGATAATAATGGTGTTCTTTTCATCATAGAACATGTTAATAATGAATTTAATCCATTAAATAATATATTGACATTATTAGATTTTTTAATGGATTCAATCAATGGTAATTGACTATGATTAGTTATTGATTTATTGATTTGTATTGAATTATTATTTATGATATGTGTTTGAAATAAAAATGCAATGAATAATGATGTCCCAGCAGCTAATGCCCATGGAATAGAATGTAATAAAGCGATATATGCAAAATTTTGTTGAAAATAAATATGATTACTATTATGTTTATAAGTAGTATGATTATCAGTAGTATGATTATGAGTAGTAGTAGTAGTAGTAGTAGTAGTGAATAGAAATCGTTTATATAAAGAAAATTTCGGTAATTGAAAGTTTGTAAAATCTATCATGGTTATAACCATTTTCATTATTATTTGGATATACAATACAATGAATGAACATAATATAAATATAGTTACTAGGTATAATCTAACACATAATATAGTATCTGTAGCTAATGAATTCGATAAAAGGCATATCAATTCATGATTATATGTTATATAATATGTATTATGTAATGTTGTTTTTTGTATTAATCCAATACATATTACTAATAATTGTAATGATGATAATATCATACCAAGGATACCTAAATGTATTGCTATAGTATAACATATATAAATATATTGATGATAAATAAATATGGAATTTCTCAATAGGATACATTTTGGATTAGATATCAAGTGATCTTCTTGTTCTTCTTCTTGTTCTTCTTGCTGTTCTTTTTCTTCACCTTCTTCTTCTTCTTCTTGGTAATCTTCTTCTTGTTCTGCTCCTTCGAGTTGTTGTCGTTGTCGTTGTTGTTGTTGTTGTTCTTCTTCTTCTTCTTTAGTAATTGGATAATTAACACAATCATTTAGTCTAGGAGATTGATTTAATAAAGTATTATAGGAATGAATTATAGATAATGGTTGTTGGGTTATATGTTTTTGATTTATATTCGTTTGAAGATGTACACATTTATGTTGTTGTTTCGAATATCTTGTTGGTGTATATAGGATATTTGAATTAGATAAATAATTGTTGATATTGTTGTTATGGTGGTGGTGATGGTGATGATGAAGGTGGTGTTTCTTGTTGTTGTTGTTGCCATGGACTTCTTCATGACTACAATCACTAATCCTATCATCATTAGAAATTATTTTCCAATGATGATTATTACTGATTGAATCAATATCTGATTGTTGATTTGTAGTGCATAGTAACAAATGATTTTTATATGGTAATGATTGATAAAGATTATGACATGAATATAAATGATTATGTTCAAGATATTGATTTGATTGTTTCATAGATGATGTTTTTCTTTTTTTTCTTCTTTTTTTATAATTATGTAATATAGATGAATGTAAATTACAATTATAATTTGTATTACAATATGGATAGGATAAATGTTTAACATTATAATTTATTATATTACTCATATTATCATCATTATAAGTAGTATTATCAATAGTATTACTACTATTAGTAGTAGTAGTATTATGGTTTCTTTTCATTTGTTTATGTACACATGGACAATTAGTAACTATGCTTAAATCAGTCATACACTGACATGGTATTGATTGATTTTTAAATAGATGATTACATAATATATCTTTATATTCATAGTTAGTAGTATTATTAGTAGTATCAGTAGTTACAGTATTAGTTAAATGTTTATTTTCATTATGATGAGAATGATGTAACCAATTCTGATAATGATGACGATGATGATGTAATCGATAAGATAAGAAAACAATCAAAATTATATTACATACTAATGAAATAGAACTAATAATTAAAGTAAATAAAATAACATTCCAATCAATGGTATGTAATGTATCACTATGGTGATGAGGATGATGATTTGAATGAATTACATTCATAGATGTAGTAGTATTAGTCAATTGTGTCATTGATAGATTGGATTTAATATAAGGTAATAATAATGATGGTGATGGTGGTGGTGGTGGTGCTGGTGGTGCTGGTGGTGATTGCATAATACTCTTCGGATTATATTCATAATCATTATCAGATTGATTAATTAATTTATTTGTATCTTGTAATTCTATATGAATATTACCATATGATTTATTGATTAAATTGATTGGATAATTTAAATGAATTATTGATTTATTATCATAATTATTGATTATTGGTAATTGATTAAATAGGAATGGTTTACGTCCTTCTGGTGGACCAGATGGTATACGATAACGTGTACCATTTGATGTAACTAAAAAACCATATTCATCAATATAAAATTTTCCAGTAGCAAGTAATGATGGTAAATCAAATTGTTTATTATTATAATTATGATTATAATAAGATATATTTGAATTGAATTTTAAATGAGTTTTTTCATAAGTCATTCTTGTTACTATGGTGTATATACATGCAAGTTTACATAAGGATTAGATTACCTTAATGGGTAAATAGAAAAAAAGAAAAAGAAAATCAAGGAAAGAATTTATAAAATATAATGTAAATTATAAAAAGATGAATAGTGATAAAATAGTAATGGAATCCAGTATGACAAGTGTTTCATCCTATTTTGGATTCGTCAGTTGAATATACCTGAATCCTAGACTTGTTGATGTTCAATCTAGAACTCGAGTTCAGTATCATTTGCTTCAAATTTCATCGGATTATCCATTTAGCTATTGTGTTCTGATAGCCATTCGCTTGTACAATGAGGTGAAGTTTAGATTCACTTGATGTTGTTTTACTCGTATTTACTCATTGTTATTTAGTACTGTAATTAATCAGTCTCTTGTTGGCACATATGTACATTTTGTGAGGATTGTCTTGAAATGAACTTAAGTGACAAACTTTTAAGCAAATATGGATAGTCGCTAGCAGTGAAATCCAGTTTGAAAAGCATTTCGTACTAATCAGGGCTTGTCATCTGGATGTATCTACATTTTAAACTAGTTGATTTTGACCCTAGGACACAGATTCAATACCGTTCGTCTCAAATACCATCGTGTTATCAACTTAGTTACTAAGTCCTGATAGTCACCTGTTCATGCAATGGGATGAGGTTCAAATTCACTTGGTATTATTGTTTACTTCTATCTTCCCATTGTTATTTAGGACTACAATTGATCAATCTGTTATTGGCATATGTGAATCCTGTACGGATTGCCTCGATATAGCTTTAATTCACAAGCTTTTTAAGTAAAGATGGATAGTAGTAGAATAGCAGTGAAATCCGGTTTGATGAGCGTTTCGTCCTATTTGGGACTTGTCGGATGAATGTACCTACATTTCACAGTTGATATTGACTCTGGGACTCGAACCCAGTACAGTTCGTTTCAAACATCATCACATTATCCACTTAGATATGAAGTTCTGACAGCCACCTGTTTATACAATGGGGTGAATTTGAAATTCACACGATGTTGTTTTACATGTATCTTCCCACTGTTATTTAGGACTGCAATTGATTAGTCTCTTATTGGCATATGTGGATCTTTAATGGATTGCCACAAGTGGCTAGCAGTGAAATCCAGTTTGACGAGCGTTTCGTTCTATTTGCGACTCATCATCTGGATGTATCTGCATCTCAGACATCTTGATGTTGACTCTGGAAATCAGTTCCAATACTGTTCGTTTCGAATTCCATCGTGTTATCCATTTAGCTACTGAGTCTTAATAGTCACTTGTTTGTGCAATAGGGTGAAGTGTAAATTCATTTGATGTTGTAATTGATCAGTCTCTTGTTAGCATATGTATATCCTGTGGAGATTTTCTAGAAATAGACTTAAGTGACAAGCTTTTTAAGTAAAGACATTTTAGCAAAGGTTAATAATAATGTACAATTGGACCTCATAAACTTAACAATATTTTCAACACTACAATCTACTCTTTATTTACCGAATAATTATGACATGTGTTAAACCTAAACTGTTAATAATTAGTTATGGAAATAAATTGACTTCCCAATGTCATATGTTCAATTGGGTGTATGATTGATAATGACAATGTAGAATGTCTAGATCTCATGGTCTAGTTATTTGATCTTCATGACTGAACATTTCGCTCTACCGTCATATATATATATATAGGGAGAAAGGGAAATTGTGTGTGTTGTTATGTCGTCACTGAGGTGTGTCGTATTTTTAACACTAATTTCCTTTAAAGTCTTGTCTCCTTTTTACCATTCTGGTTGATTAAACATGTCTAGTAATAAGCTAAACAATATAAGTCAGCAAAACGAAATGGGTATCAATAAAAATATATGAATATGGAGTTTTTTGTGAGAAGCCGTGATCGAATGAGTCTGATTCGTGTTGGGTGATGACAGGTATCTACTTTAAACAATGAATGAAGCTTTGAGCAAGATCATGAATCGATTAAACTTAGACACTGACACCATTGGATATCTACTTGCTCAGTGGTCTAGAGATTAAGCGTTAGCCCATGAGACTAAAGCTCTTGAGTTCGAGTCGATTCTGCGCATGATCATGAATGAGCACTGTTGAAGAGTCTCATACTAGTATGAAATGGCTTTCAAGTGGTTCTAGATTTTCAGTGGTAGATTAGCTTCGATCGCCTTATAAATTCAACTATTAAAATTATTACAATTTCAGCAGGTTGACATTCTGTTATGAATACATCTTGATCTAACCTTATGAAGAAATCCTATTTGCAATCATTATGTAGTGCTGTACAAACATATAATTTAAGTGGTGAAATAATGACTTTGACATTCAGTCGGAAATCATAAACATTCAAGTCAGCATTCAGCATGAGGCGTCGTAACTCTTCCGAATGAAGACCCTACAACTCCCAGGCCAGAGTTTAAATGGTTTGAATAATTTTTTTCTGTTCAGCGTTTTTTTAGAGAGTTAGTTTTTTACGGGATGGTGTCGCTAACCCCATACCCAACCCTCCTTCTTTATCCAGGCTTGGGACCGGTAGTAGCCTCAGAGGGACTCCAGGCGGAGTGGATAGTGGCTAGTAATGAAATACAAGACGAGTGTTTCCTTCTATTTTGGAATTGTCAGTTAGATGTATGTGCATGGAGTTTGAGGCGAACGTTATTGGGTTCGACTCCCTCGAAGTTTCAGGTACTCATTGTACATGATCAAAATATTGTACTTAGAAAAAATTGTCTATTAAATTACATAATTGTTTCATTTTCCGTAGAAAAACATACAGTGAAGAATCTTTATAAGAAGAATAATAAAAATCACTCAACTGACGAGTCCCACATAAGACGAAACTCGTATCCTTGATTCCACTACTAGCCACTATCCATCTCTGCTTTTAAAAAAAACAAGGAGATATTTATATTAGCTAATCTAAATAAGTTTATTCAATAGACAATTCACTTTCTATTTCATAAACTTTATCCGTATGTAAATCATTAAGTAAAAGAAGAAAAAAGAGAACAAAAATAGAAAGAAAAATGAAGAAAAAGAAAAAAAGGAAGAAGAGAAAATGATATTTCATGCATTCAATAGATTTTCTTCTCTTTTTTTTTTCTTTTCTTAAATTAGATGACAAAAATGTAACAACTGTGTATAATCATAAACAGTTTGTATTCAATAAACATTATGGTTACTGTTGTTGCTGTGGTTTTATTTAATCTTCAATTCTATTCATTATTTTCATTATTATTATTACTATTATTATTATTATTATTATTAAAGTATCATCATAATGAATTGTAATTCTGTATCGTATTCATTCCATTGAAATGGTTTGAAATGATTTCACTATGGTGATAATAATAATAATAATACTAATAATAATAGTAATACTAGAATGTTTATTATTGTAGTTTTGTGGTTAGGAACAGTTAGGGGAGTGATGGTGGTGGTGGTGGGGGTGGGGGTGTGGTGGAGTGATGAGGGTGATGGGGGGGGTAGGGGTGATTGAATAAAAACACATATGATTTAGTATATCTGTATAGACATATACATTTTACACTTTTTAGTGATTTCTCTTTATTTTTCATTATTCATTTAATCTTATAAGAATAATGAAACTTTTACATAATTTAAACAGTTGTAGTTAGTTAGTTAGTTAGTTAGTTCGTTTGTTTTATTTTTTTTTTCTATTTTTGTCTTTAAATTGGTAAGTGTTCGTTGATTGAAGTACAAGAAATGTATTCGTTGAATTTATAAGTTAATTAATGTTAAAGTATTATTGAATATCTAGAACCATTTGACAATTGTTTTTTATCCTAGTTTGATAATCATCAGTAGTGTACATTTACAATGATGCATCGAAGAGAGCTTCGGTTTTGTTTGTGTGAATGATTAACCTCTAGATCACTAAGCATGTATTCAATGATCAATTTATGATGTTACTCAACTCGTCATTCATTGTTTAGAGTGAATAGCTGTCTCTACTCAACATGGATCTCTATTTATTGATTTGATCACGTAAATATTGGTACAAAGGGTCACTGAATACATAAGCGCCACACAAATCACTTGATTTGTGTGAGAGCTGTAATACTCTTCGGGTGTTCAAACGATACAGATGGTTTTTTTAGGAAGCCACACTCAGAGCCTTTGACCTAAATGTCTAATCCACAAGGCAGTGGAGCAACGTCAGGAGATAGTCTCATGATAGCCGATGATCAACGATTAGTTCATACGTCATTTGTTCCTACAGGATCCTGCTATCCATGAGCACTATTGGCTTGGAATGGGGGGTTTTCCGACTCTCCTAGATAGATCATTCATATCCATAGTTTCTCACGAAAACTCCAGGAAATCCATCTTGAAGCTTGATGATTTAGCATAAATCAACTCATAAATTCAATTATTATTACACAAATGTTTATTAGCATAATCAATCCGTTATTCAGTTGATCGACTTATCTTGTTCTTAAATTACAATATGCATCGAGTTTGAATGAATTACAGTGAATTAGTTTGTACAGAATTAAAGATACATTTTTCAGAACGGATATAACTTTTACTTACTTACTGATGCCTGTTACTTCTCGTGGAGAAGCATAGGCCGCTTATCAACATTATCCATCCAACCCTGTCCAGGGCGATCCTTTTCAACTCTTTCCAGTTCTTATTCATCCTTTTCATATCTGATTCTATTTCTCGACGTAATGTGTTCTTTGGCCTTCCACTTTTCCACTTTATTCAAGATTCCAAGTTAAGGCTTGCCTCGTGATGCAGTTTGATGATTTCCGTAATGTATATCCTATTCATTTCCATGGTCTTTTCCTAATTTCCTCTTCAGCTGGAAGTTGGTTGGTTCTCTCTTCCTTAAAAGGCTTTTGCTGATAGTATCCGGCCAATGGATTTTGAGTATCTTGTGTAGACAATAGTTTATAAATACTTGTACCTTCTTGATGGTGGTTGTTGTAGTTCTCCAAGTTTCAGCTCCGTACAGTAGAACTGTCTTGACGTTCGTATTGAAGATTCTAACCTTGATATTGGTT